CAAAGGTAGAGCTTGCCATAGCCGATGGGGAAGAAAGGTTTGAGGAATGTGACCAACGCATCGGGGAGCTTGCCAAGAGTGGCGACGAGCTTCGTGGAGAGGTGCAAGGAGCGGTCAATGAGGTCCTCGACCGGTGTATTTCCGAGGTCAAAGGCGTGGAAGGGGCTTTAATGACAATGGTTGCTTCATTGCGGGAAGAGTTGGAGAAGGTCACCAAGGAGTTGGTGGAGACCAAGGAAGAGCTGGCCCTGTGCTAGATAGGCGGTGGCGTAAGGAGGAAGCACATCGTCTAGCGAGGTAAGTCCTACTCCTTCCAAAGTAGATGTGCCTAGACCCAAGACGTACCAGGGTGCTAGGAATGCGAAGGAGATAGAGAACTTTGTGTGGAGTATGGAGCAATACTTCAAGGCTCTTGGTATCGGGGATGATGCCAAGAAGATAGACACGACCACCATGTACTTGGAGGATACCGCGATGTTGTGGTGGAGAAGGAAGTATGGGGACCGGGAGAAGGGTCTTTGTACTATTAACACGTGGGAAGAGTTCAAGGGTGAACTCAAGAAGCAGTTTTGCCCTATGAATGCGGAAGAGGAGGCGAGAGCAAAGCTAAGGCGTTTGCAACACAAGGGAAGCGTGCGCGAGTATGTGAAGGAGTTTACCGAGGTACTCCTAGACATCCCGGATTATCCCGACAAGGAAGCTTTCTTTGCATTCACGGATGGTTTGCAAAACTGGGCTAAGATCGAGGTCCAAAGACGTGGGGCTAGAGATCTCGACACTGCCATTGCCATTGCCGAGTCCTTGGTGGAGTTCAAGAAACCGGAGAGGGAGAGGTCGCCACCTAAGGAAAGGGATGAGGAAAAGAGTGGGGGAGACCACCGTGCTCACAAAGAAGGTTTCCAACGCTTTGAGAAGAACAAGGGACAAAAGGAGACCAAGGAATGGGAGAAGAGACCATTGACGTGCTTCTTTTGTGATGGGCCGCACATGGCAAGGGATTGCCCGAAGAAGGCCAAGCTCTCGGCCTTAGTTGAGGAAAGGGAAGAGCGGGAACGAGAGGAAGCTACGGTTGGTTCCCTCAGACTCCTCAACGCTATACAAGCCAAGGTAACCGAGCCCAAGGCGAAGAAGAGGGGACGTTTGTTCATTGAAGCCAAGGTACGTGGACAACCTATTAAAGCTTTAATAGATACCGGCGCTTCACACAACTTCCTTGAGATTGACGAAGCAAGGAGACTGGGAATCCCCTATGAAGGAGAATTGGGTCGGCTGAAAGCTGTAAACTCACAACCTACGTCGATCTACGGAGTGGCTCGGGGTGTGAAGGTTACCTTGGGAGAGTGGAGCGGATTGATAGATTTCATGGTCGTTGATATGGACGACTATCATATAGTGTTGGGCATGGAGTTTATGGATTCGGTGAAGGCAATACCGATTCCATTTGCCAACACCATGTGCATACTTGGAGTAGGCGAGAATTGCACAGTGAAACTGTCTCGAGAGGAGAGGAGCCAGTCCAAGCAAATCTCGTCCATGCAAGTTGTTGAGGGCATGGGAAGGCGGCAACATAACCTAGCCACCTTGAAGGAGGAACCAATGCCGATGAGTGATACGGCTAAGAGGGTGGCTAAGGCACATGTGAGAGCCAAGGACGTGGTGATGTCCGGGTTGCCGAGGAGACTTCCGCCCAAGATAGAAAAGATGGAGAGGAACAACGTGGCGGGTGCGCAAAGTAAGGAAGCCAAGCTAGCCGCCAATAAGAGGCCGAGTTTCCCTTTGGTGGAACAAGTCAAGGGAGGACTTGAGCTAGGCCCTAAGGCCAAGGGGTTGAAGAACTTGGCAAGTCAAGGTAAGACACGCCAATTCTGGCCAAGGGAGGGGTTGCTAGCAACAAGGGAAGACCGAGTCTACGAACCAAAACAGCAAGGCCTAGGGAAGGGAGCCACAGTCAAGTCGTCCCGAGAAGAGGTTTACAAGAAGACCACGACGAGGACGTCGTGAGATTGAGTGGGGGAGAATGTGACGCCTCTCCCAAATATCGAAGTCTGCCGCGGCATAGCAGGCACTTCAGGCCGCGGCATGGCAGGCAAGTGCGCCGCGGCATAGAAGACAAGTACGCTGCGGCGTGGCAGAGTGATATGCCGCGGCATAACCGTGGCAAGGGACAATGCTGGAGTCTAGAACTTCCCAAGAGAGAGGGGCAGATTTCCGGAGGCTTATAGAATATTCTAGACTCATGTAGATAGGAGTATACTTGTATAGAGTATAGTGGAATACTCTAGAATATTGTAGAGTAGTATAGAGATGAATTGTAGCCATTAGATCAAGTAGATCTAAGCCGTCCATTGAGGAGGAGGACAAGTATAAATACCCCTCAAGGTTGGCTCATTTGTAAGCATCCAACCATCGAGTAATCAAGCATTTGAGAGCAATAAAGCATTGTACACGTTTCTCCACAATCGGTGTCCTTAGAAGTTAGGCTGACTAGCATAGTTTGAGTGAGTGTGCTAGTGCCGCACGGGTCTTGAGAATAAGTCCGTGACATAGGCCTTCGGGTGGTTCGGCCATTCATTTGCATTTTTGCTTTTTATTTAGTTTTCCTTTCTTATTTGCATTGGAGTTCAAATTGAATAGACCTTACTTTTCCCTAAATTTTTTACCCACGTTTGAAATACACCATGTTCATTACTTTGCCATCTCAACAGCAATGTACAACCACATTGGAGTTACTCTCATTACTTTGCCATCTCAGCAGCAATGTACAACCACATTGGAGTTACTCTTATAGCGTATGTTTGGTTCAAGGAATGTCTGATTATCATGGGAATGTCAGATTACTGGGTATGTTAGATTGATGGGAATGCATGCATTTGTTTCTCATTTGTGTTTGGTTAAGATTAAGGGAATGTGACATTAATTTGTTTGTTTGAATGATATCGTACATTGCAGACTTGATAAATTACTTCAGTGCCCTTCAAATACTTTCTCTTAAACAATAAATTTATTACAACCTACATTCGAAAGTAATTTAAATTAAAGAAAAAAATGAAATATCTTAGTAATAAATAAAATAAAAACTAACTGAATTTTTTTAGTGAACATTAGTAAGCATTATTGTTTGGCCTTTTTGCAAAAATATAACTAAGAGAAAACTTATTAAAACAAATATGATTAATAGTTACTACAATGTAGTTTTATGGTAACTTAAGTTTAGAAATAGAACGTAAGTTACTCTAATTTCATTACTACTCTAGTCAATAGTCACATTTTTGTAAACAATATTTATTCTAGTCATATATATGTAATTATATCTTATTATATTGTTTAAGTAAATGCATAATGAAACACATTAAAAATAAAGGTGAATATTCCATTACATTAGCATCTCTAGCAAAAAGCAAGTAAAAAGAGGTTCTCTTGATTAAATGAGTAGGTATTTTTGGAAGAAGTGTTATAATCAACCAGACATCCAAGATAACCTAAGAGCTTCATGGGTTTAGCATTACTGGGCATGAGATTACATTCCTCACTTTTGGGAATGTTAGAGTCTGTTTACTAACAGAGATATTTTCCTGTTTTCAACTTCTGTTTTTCGTTCTCCAATTTTATGTTTTTATTTTTCAGTTTTTCTATCTCCAATTTTATGTTTCTATTTTTTAGTTTTCCATTTTCAAATATGAAAACATATTCATCAATTTTTTCACCCAGTTCTCCAATTCCACACCCTTGACTCATACCCCTACCCTTACCACGATCTTACACTCTATCCATACTCCCCCACAACCCTTCATACCCACCCATACCTACTCTTAGGGGTCAGGGTAGGGAAGTCATGGGTGGGGTGGGGTAAGGGGTATGGTCGGGTGGGGTGGTAAGGTCTAGGGGTAGGGGTAGGATGGGGGTAGTGGGTGGGTTAGGGTCGTGGTTAGGGGTAAGGGTGGGGTAGTGGGTAGGGTAGGGTTGGGGTAAGGTAGGGGTAGGGTAGGGAGTTGGGATAGGATGGCAGTGGGGTGTGGCCGGGACCAGGGTGGGGCCAAGGTAGGGAAGGGGTAGGGTGGGGTGTAGGATGGCAGTGGTTGGGGTTGGGGTAAGGTAGGGGTAGGGTAGGGAGTTGGGATAGGATGGCGGTAGGGTGGGCCCGGGATCCGGGTGGGGCCGAGGTAGGGGAAGGGTAGGGTGGGGGGTAGGATGGGGGAAGGGTGGGGGTAGGATGGCGGTGGGGTGGGGCCGAGGTAGGGGGCATGTGGTAAGGGGTAATGTAGGGGTAAGGGGTGGGGTCGAGGTGGTAGGGGGTAGGTAGGGTGGGTCAGGGTGGGGTTAGGGTGGTAGGGGGGTGGCGGTAGGGTAGGGTGGATCGGGGTGGGGCCGAGGTAGGGGCAAGTGGTAGGGGGTGGGGTAGGGTCATTATAGGGAAAATGGGTACACGGGTTGGGGGTTGGGGTGGGTAGGGTATGGGTAAGGGGTAAGGTACGAGGATAGAGGTACCGGAATGGAATCGATATCAGAGCGGGACCGGACCCACCACTAGGTGTAAGTATGCAAATTCATTGCAGCGGCGCTGTAGCATCTGCGTTTTCCAAATTTGGATAACTAGTAAAAGTCACTTCTCCAAATCATTAAGGAAAAGAGAGACATGTCTCATTTTTTACGTTTTGGAAAACGATATGGTAAACACGTTTTTCTTTTTCCTTTCTCCAGTTTTCCAGCAATTTTTTGGTAAACTTATTTCCTGTTTTCAGTTTTCCAGTTTTTTAGAAAACTGGAAAATATCTCTGTTAGCAAACAAGCCCTTACATTCCCATTTTTTTAAACCCGCGAACCAAACGCGGATATCTTAGATTCCAGACATCAGATTCCGACACGCACACAAGATTACCTCCAATCAAATGTGCCCATAGTCATATGAGTACGGTGGCCTCATTCTAACTACTCATATTTTTAGTGAGGTGTCCAATAAAAAAATATAAATGATTAGAATGGTGCCACCGTACCTTCACAAGTTCACAAATCATTAATTCAAAAGTATATTAGCGACAGCTTTCTCGACCATTTGATTGATTAATAAACCTAGAGAAGAAACAGGGGAGCCCAGAGACGAGAAAAAAAAAATACAAGAGATAGAACTCCTTTCACTCAAAATTAGATCAACTCTCAAGCCTGCCTTCTTATTTATTGAGATGATACAGCAAAACCTTTTGTCTTCTTTAAATTGACATAAAAATCCAATCTTTTCTCACTGCGGGGTTTCCCTCCTTAAACACCAAGCTCTCACCTTCTTTTCCTGTAATGCTTATTTCTGTTGGGTTTTAGCTCTTCATATTAACGAGTCATTCTTGAACTTGAAGTATAATAACGAGTCATTCTTATTTTCAATTGTCCCTCTAATGCAGACTGGTGTGATAGAAAATATTGTCGAAGTATTTTCCCAGATCCCTCTGGTATGGCATTGGTTCTGATTATATTGCCTTACTAATATATTTTGGTGTTTTGAGGTAAAAAATTCAACTTTATCAAGTCAGATTTTAGATTCTTGTAGATTGAGGGGATTTTTGAAATGGATAAGTTACAGTGGGGGAATAGAAAAAGGCTAAGATGTATGAAGGTGAAGGAATCTTCTTCTAATGGGAAATCCGATGGTTCTATGATGAAGAGGAAAACGGTTAGAGTTGATAATAATAAGGGGACTATTTCTCCTCCCCATCGTTCCAACAGGTATCTATACCTTGAATGATTATTATTTTGTTTATTTGAATACTTATGGTTGGCTGTTTTTGTTTGGATCGTTGGGTATTACGTTTTTATAAAGCTGCAATTTTTTTCAAAGCTCCATTCTCGATCTGAGACTATTGACAACTAATATTCTCTTGGATGATGAAATTTGAGATTTTTGAAATTTTGAAAAAGAATTTTCATCTTTGAATAGCTCAAACTTGGATCTGTATCCTTTCCCCTGTTTTTCATGATATTTTCTTTTTATTTCTGGAAATTATTTCCCCACAAATTGATGAAGATAACTTTGTGTAGTTGATAGTTGTTCTGAAGAAAAGACCAGATTTTGGTAAGTTTTATACTCCGTATACTAAAAGGAACAGAACCTAAATTTGTAGCCAGTGTAATTCTCGTAAGCTATCCAGACAAGGGACTTCCTCTGGACGCAGTAATATTATCAAGAGTATGAACAATTTATATCAATACTTTAGTTCTTTGATCTAGAACTTTATTTTATTACTTTGCAATGTGATGGTATGATGGAGAGTTGATGATTAGGAGGATTTTATCCTAATTTTCCCATGGAGAAGAAAACTTCAGATATGAAAAGTGGAATTTTGCATGAGTTTATAGTCCAAGTAATTTTACAGTTTTAACCAACACTATAAGTTTTGACTTAGATTGATTTTATCAATGCTTGTCCTTTTAGAAAATCAAACCGATTCAGTCATTTCAGCAAAATGATCTTGACATTGCTTGGCTCTAACTACTTGGGTTTAAGGCGCTTTCAATGCCGATGCTGATTAAAGATGTAACTTTCGATCAAAAAAACCACTGTTTTGGCGCATTGTAGGGATTTGGGGACAGCTAGGTCTAGTGCGAATGAGTTTAGAAAGCCAATGACATCATCATCTCCTGAGAAAGAGGACAGGTATTACACCACAAGAGGGTCGGTTGGATTGGATGATCATACCAAGTTGCTTCCGAATCCAAAGGAAGAGAAGAAGAAGTTCGTTTGGCCCAAGCTACTCGTCACATTGTCTAGCAAAGAGAAGGAAGAGGATTTTATGGCAATGAGAGGTACCAAACTTCCTCAGAGGCCTAAGAAAAGGGCGAAGTTGATTCAACGAACCATTCTTGTAAGTTTCCAAACACCTTTGTTATAGAAAAAGAAAAAATGACCTTCCTTGTTTTAGTATTTTCTTAATTTCTGCTAAATCTGCTAAATTATTTCCTCGCTTTCCTTTTTCATGTAGTTAGTGAGTCCAGGTACATGGTTATCTGATCTGTGTCAGGAGAGGTATGAGGTGAGGGAAACCGAAAAGAAGACTTCCAAGAAGGTATCAAAATCATTTATGTTAAGATACATTAGCAGAAATAAGGGGCTGTGATAGCAGTTACATTAAGAAGTATCAAGAGTAAAACCATCAAAAAGTGATGAAAATTTTGTTGTTGTGAATTTTTCAATGATGAAAGAAACTTTTATTGTGAATTTGTATGATATTTTGATTCTTCAATCTGTTTATTTATTAATTTACTAAGAATATAGATCTATTTGAGCAGAAGGGAAATGTATTTCTGCCATATCTCGTCCATAAGGGAGCCTAGAGGCCTAATTGTAATAAGATTATTATATGCAAAAAACCAAAAGTAAAATATGACATGTAAATTTATGAAGGACGAACCCACCACTTCGATATACTTTTGGGACTAGAAGTGGTGACACTAATATCTTAGAGACTAATCTACTATAATCCCATAACTGAGGGACCAAAAGCATCGTTTTCATATTAATTTGAATACTACTGAGTTTAATCAGCAGCTTAAACATCCTTCACTTGTTTCAATACTTTAATACAAACTGTGTGGCACTAATGTGAATGTTTTTGGAATGGTGTATGTGGTCTTAGAAGCCAAGAGGGTTGAAGGCCATGGGAAGCATGGTAAGTGATTCAGAATAGGATTTGGAGGAAAAGACAGAAGCAGATCCCCTTAGGTTGGGATGTGATTTTGGTGGTTCTGTTTTGTTGAAGCAGCAAAGAGATTGTAAGATTTTGAATGGCTTCTATTCTCTTATCCCATATGATGAGTGGTGGGCTCTTGGGTCTTTTTTCCCTTGACATCTTTGGCTTTTTTTTTTTTTTTGAAATTCCATTCACTATACTTGTTCTATGGATTCAGTCAAAAAGATGCTTCCCTACTTTAATGCCATTGTGCTCTATTTGACCTTGAATTATTTTTTCCATAGGTCCATAGCTGTCACACGTTCCTCTATAAAAGAAGAAATAATAAAACATTATGTTTACATGTATTTTTATCTTTTAAATGAATCTTATTTACACAGCAGCTTTTTATCCCCCCCCCCCCTCCCACTATGGAGCCAACTGCCCATTTTTCTATAATTAAGTGTCGTATTTATTTTTTTAGTTTTCTAAAAGAAAATCTGTCTACTGTGTTTGGTAACAAAAAGGATACATATGACTAAATTTTATTGGGAATCTTTCTCAAATAGGATAAAATGATAAACTAATATCACTTGTTTCACCTTTGATTTTTTATTTTAAAAAATTGACTACGCAAGACCTTCTTTTCAATAATGTACCCCCCTATTTTATTGGTAATCTTTCTCAAATAGGCTACAATGATAAATTAATATCACTTTTCCCACCTTTGATTTTTTATTTTAAAAAATAGACTATGCAAGACAATCTTTTTGTTTGTGACACAGACAAATATGTGAAAAATGATTCTATTTACAAAACAATAAAAACAATTGTGCATAACCAATTTGACCGGCGAGTAAAATGGCGTGTATAAACAACATTTCTCGATTTTACACAAAAGTGGCTTCATTGAGAAATTTACACAATTTTATTTCTGTTGTGAAATGAAGAAGATGCAGAACAAATTTAAGAGAGAGATATATAAATAATAAGATCTAAATTATACTTCTTCTTAATATCAAGATTTTCTGAATTTCTGAGTGAATTTACATGGCTTCATCAAACTCCTATTTATAGTGTTTGAGCTTGATGATTAGTCACCTAAATGATGAGTCTACAGATATGGTGGCAATAACAAATTGAATCACCTACTCTCTAACTAGGTTACACGGATCATTATAAGGTTCAGGAACATCTTGGTGTCCTAGTGACAAGGATGAACAATTCAGACTTGTAAATTTGATGGTTTTACAACACTCCCCCTTGAATGTTCATCCTTGAATATGTATTTGTTATCTTATTGTGAAAATGAGTGTGAAAATTAAGGGGTAGTCATTTGAGATGTTTGTTTTTTCAATATCATTTTCTATGCCAGTATTTTCAAATTGTTCATTTTCTTGTTCAGAAGGATGAACATCTTTCATCACAGATCAATTTCTGCCTTTTAGTTTTCTTGGTTTTATGTCTTTTGATCATAGTGGCCTGCCACGCTTTTTGCGTATAAAAGAATCATTTGCAAGAGATTTTTCAGAATTCTCCACTGGGACTTCGATTCTGGCAGGGGCATTCATAGCAGGAATATGTGACTTTGTCACTTTCTTTGTATCTGTGAATGCATCAGGCAACTGATTTGCAACATTTTGTAAATGAATTATCTTTTTCACCTCTTGCTCACATATATTTGATTTAGAATCAAGGTGTGATAATCATGTTGCATTCCATGTTATTTCTTTTGTACTTGGGTCCGATTTATTAGTTTCTCCCCCTAAGGTTGGGAATACTGTCTCATTGAAATGACAGCCAGCGAACCGTGCGGTGAATAAGTCACTAGTCATCCGTTCAAGATATTTTATTATTGAGGGAGATTCAAATCCAACATAAATTCTCAACCTTCTTTGAGGACCCATTTTTGTATGATGAGGTGGAGCAATCGAAACATAAACAGCACAACCAAATATCTTTATGTGTGCTAAGTTTGGCTCTTGTCCAGTAACTAATTGCATTGAGGAATATTCATGATATGCAGTCTGTCTAAGCCGAATTAAATTTGCTGCATGCAAAATAGCATGTCCCTAAGCTGATGAAGGTAAATTACACTTCATTAATAATGGTCTGGCGATTAATTATAATCGTTTAATTAAAGATTCAGCAAGACCATTTTGTGTATGGACATGAGCAACAGGATGCTTCACATCAATCCCAATCGACATACAATAGTCGTTAAATGTTTGGGATGTAAATTCTCCTGCATTATCAAGTCAGATTCTTTTTATAGAATGATCCGGAATATGAGCTCGTAATCGTATGATTTGAGCAAGGAGTTTAGCAAATGCTAAATTTTTAGTCGATAAAAGACTAACATGTGACCAACGTGTTGAAGCATCAATCAACACCATAAAATATCGAAATGGTCCACATGGTGGGGCTATCGGCCCACAAATATCTCCTTGAATCCTTTCTAAAAATGCAGGTGATTCAGTTGCAATTTTGTTCATAGAAGGCCTGATGATCATTTTGCCAAGAGAACAGGCCTTACAAGGAAGATCACTTGATAATGGAACCATGGTATTCTTTAATGGGTGTCCAAGTGAAGTCTTAATGATTTTATGCATCATTATCTGGCCTTTGTGACCTAAACGGTCATGCCACAACATGAATGTTTTCTGATTATCCAACTTTGTGTTAGAAACCAAATTTATTTCGAATGGACTAATATATGTGAAATATAGTCCTGAGGAACATGCTGACATTTTTTCATAAATATATTTAGTGTCTGATTTAGTTGTCGTAAGACAAAGATATTCTTTTTGGTTTTCATTCATGGTTTCTATGTGATAACCATTTTGACGCATATCTTTAAAACTTAATAAATTTCTCCGCGATTTGCTGGAGTATAAAGCGTCATTTATCATTAATTTTATCCCATTAGGGAGCATCATATATGCTTTCCCAAAGCCTTCAATGAGCTTTGCAACACCTGATATTGTATTGACTTTAGCTTCAACTAAAGCCATTTGAGAAAAATATATTTTATTTCTCAAAATGGTGTGCGTTGTAGCGCTGTCTATTAGACATAATTCTTTATCACTTGAGTGATCCATATCTGCAGAAGATGATGATTTCTTGAAGAGTTTGAGCTGATTCGTGCTGATAACGTGTTGTGAAATGAAGAAGATGGAGACTAAATTTATGAGATAGATATAAAAATAAAAGTCTGGATATTCTTCTTCTTCTTAATATGTGAGAAATTTTGAATTTCTGAGTGAATTTACAAGGCTTCATTAAGCTCCTATTTATAGTGTTTGAGTTTGATGATTAGTCACTTAAATGATGAGTCTACAGATTTGGTGGCAATAACAAATTGAGCCACCTACTCTAACTAGGTTACAAGGATCATTACAAGGATCGGGAACATCTTGATGTCCGAGTGACAAGGATGAACAATTCATACTTGTCAATTTGATGGTTTTACAACAATTTCTCTATAAATAGTCTTTAATTTACACTAGACGATGTACCCGTGCGATGCACGGGAATATCTAAAGTAAAATAGTTATTTAAAATTATATTTTATAATGATGACCTAAAATAAGTAATTTTTATATAGAAGAAAAATATAAAACGAAAAACATAAGTCGTATGAAGAATTGAAAGTAAATTTGACAAAAACACATGTTAATTGTAAGAATAAATAGTACCTGGCAATGAAAAAATCGTGATAGTACAATGTGAAGTGTTTATTTCGTTAGCCATCATCAAATTTTATAATATTGGACAATCCTTTTTCAATGTTGCATAAAAATTATCATAAGTTTTTTAGATTACATTTTTAGTGGCCAACACTACACAACTCTCATCTTTGCATATTAGAATTTTCTACTCACTTCTTGAGGTGGCTCTGGACATAAAAAGATACATATTGCTCTGCTTAAAAACAGATTTTGTAAGATAATGTCTACTTTATGCAAAGATTGTCCATGACTGGGAATGACCTACATTGAAACTTGATAGAACTTCTATTATGTGACTGACTGACGGGACCAAATTAAAGATAATCACGGGATTAAAACTTTTTGTCAAATATTTTTTCTGTATATAACTTTCGCCTCTAAAACATTTTACCCATGAGAAAGGTAAGGCATGTCCTAGATATTACATACTCTAGAAGATTGATCTATGTTTCTCATGAACATAATAGGAATTCTAATTACTTTGAATAATGAGGCGCGAGTTTAAGAAACACTTAGAATAAGGTGCTATATCTAATTAATTTCATGGAAAAATACAGTTTTTCAAGTGTTAAATAACTACTTCCATTGGTAACTGTTTTACTATTTAGTATTTACTTCGAAAGTTTGGTAGATAAAAGCTTTCCATGCTTTTTTATTCTAGATTGATAGATTACAATTAGGGCTGAGCACCGGTCCAAGACCGGACCGGACCGGAACCGGTTGGACCGGAACCGGAATTCACAAAAAAAGTGGACCGAAGACCGGACCTATATAATTCCGGTCCAGGACCGGACCGGACCGGATTATTCCGGTTTTTCCGGTCCGGACCGGTATTGGACCGGTTTTTTAATTTTATTTTTTATAATGTTTCATCTTTTTAAAAATAGGTTTGATTGTCCAAAAATGTACCTATTACCTCATTGTTTCTATTACGGAGTATTATTTTATGATGTTTATAAGTGATTATTTCTAATATATTCTTTATGTGTATTGTTTCTATGTCTCTTTTAATCAATATAATATACATTATAATACTTTGAATAAGTCGAAATAAACACATGAACTACGCCTAGTCGAAATATGAAAAATACGTGATACAATTTTGACTATAAAATTTTAGGCATGATCATATTAGTGCGGGAAACTAATGTTCCTTGCTTGATTAATTTAGTGAATGATTCGACTCAATAGATTTGCTTATTTAACAAAGAAGAATTCAATTAATCAAACTATATATTATAGTTAAAACAAGTAAAAATAAGTAAATACAATGCCCCATTCTACCTCTTAATGTTTTTATGCTACATAATTTTACTAGTATAAATGTGTAAATAATATTATGCATGTAACTTGAGTTAATGTATAAGTTATTGTATCATTTAATTAATGTACTTTTTAAAGTAAATTAATGTACTATGTATGTGTATGTGTGTACATTTTAAATACATATATAAATATAAATTAAATATAAATATAAATTTATGTATATATATTAACATATTTATATGTATAATAATTTAATTCCGGTCTAACCGGTCCGGACCGGAATATTCCGGGTTTTGGACCGGACCGGACCGGAACCGGAATCGCTAAATACCTTGGACCGAAGACCGGACCGGTAACTATCCGGTCCGGGTCCGGTCTGGACCGACCGGTCCGGTT